TTGAGTTACTCAACAGTGTACCCTTCGGTCCCTGTGTGCCCTTTCGTTGTGCACACCTGACCTTGGGCCTTCGTTGAGTTAGCCGCCGATCTAGGTTTTTCAGGCTCCCCTACGCTTCTTAGCTTAACTACTGCATTCTTCGGCGGCCGGGGTACTTCCTGTTGGGTTCCAGTTTCCTTGTTTCCTCGTCTGGGCATCATCGAAATAGTTTTCTCGTTTGATTCCAATTTGGGTACGTCAATAACTTCGCACTTAAGTGACGCGTAACCGAAACCGATACGAATCCCGAAATAAAACACGACTGATCCGTAATGTTCAGGTCAGGTTAGGTCGGGTTGCGTAGTACTGAATATGGCCACAGCCAATCGAGCGTCCAGAATTCCTTCGATGGTATGCTTACAAGGTGGGCACCCAGCTTTCCTGGAATAAAAATGAGAAATAGGATCTCGGTACTGAATAAACGAAATAATTACAAAATGTACAACAAAGCAAACCCCAAATATGCAGCCGAAAGCACTCAAGCAAGCGAGCCAAATATGACGTCCAGATAGAGGCAAACTGGCTCACGTTCTCTGACCACGCAAATTTCAAATACGCCGGGTATCGAATTAACAGATAAAGAATGATGTATTGGGTTTGTGATTGAGAAATGTCAATAGAGAAGCAACACAGGTAAAGTGATATCACCCTGAATCATCATGGGTTTGGAAGGATTTTCAAAAAATCAACATGAAATACACTGTTCATCAATCTGTCCATCCACCACGTTCTCGTTTTCTATGCATTTATTCCAACTGCATTGAGTCATTATTTTTGTTGCTGGTGTTTATTTTTATGCATACAAAAAAAACGAAGAAATAGACCAAAAAACGGAAACTTAAAAAACAGAAAACCTTAATATTTCTACGCTTTACTTAGGTGCATGTATAAGTATATGTACTATCCAAATGTGAGCATATTTGAGCATCACAAGCAGATAATTCACCACTCCACTCCCATATTCCTTTTCAGGTTCTTCCTTGCAATTACATGAATCTCAATCATCCTCAATAGCGGGCCGTGCTCTCAAATAATCAGGTCAGGTCAGGTCGGGTCACAGAACTTGCGGCTGATGCCAACTTTTCTTTTTTCTTTTTCATTTTACTTCCTTTTATTGAATATACAAAGATACAATTTTAAAGAAGGGGGAAGCGGCCTATCAAAGGGCTGCCATACAACACACAAATGGGGAAGGTCAGGCGGTGGTGGTGGGATTCGAACACTCGTCCTCCGGGGTGATAATTGGTGACGTTACCACCGGGCCACCACCGCCCAGGTCCAGGTTCTTGCATCGTGAGCGTATCGCTTACATACGTGTGCTTCGATAGTAGAGAATCCGTTGCGAGCCTATTTTGGGCTCCCCGAAGTTGATTTTGGCAACTTTCGGTTCAGATGCTACTTCTGTAGCTGATACAGTTCAAGGCTGAGGAATGCCTGCAGAAAAAGAAAAGAGAAGGAATGGTTGCAGTCTAGGTGTGCACCTAGCTGAGCGGATTAGTGGGACGAGGCAATACTATACCATAAACGGTCTTCTAATTTTGCGGGTGGATATACCCGGCAGGGTGCAAAATACGCTTGTGGAGAAGAAATGGGAGTACGCATTAGGTAAGGTTCTCGTCAGCGGGCATTACCCATCCAGCAAAAACCGACAAGTTGCAAGGTCTGGGACCATTTGGCTTAGCCTCGAAACCGTGAAATACTTCAAAACTTCCAGACATCAAGTGAACTGAACTTGAAGTCTTCAAGCCTTTCCCAACTCATTGTTTTGCAACAAGGACATTCTAAAGGGCCAAGTTACAGTGACAAGAGCACAAATTGTGATTATACGACTGGTAAAAATATGGTCGCTCAACTGGAAAGTATGATAACCCCTTCGTTGCAATTTAGTCTAACCGTTACCGAATGTTTGTTTTACTGCATCAGCGTGAAGCTGCATAAATGCCTTCATTCACCTTCACTCCGGATGATTAACTCCCTATTCTGTTATAATATCACTGACGAGCGGCGCATCTGATTGGAATTATAAGCATAATGGTCGTGGGCTGTTGCACTCTTAATAATTTGTCGGAGGATGCTAAAAGCCGGAATGAGGCGAACAAGCACATCGAAAAGTTGATCGAGAAAGAAAAAAAGAATTTCAAATCTACTCACCGTCTTCTTTTACTTGGTAATGATGCAGTCAAATGTTCTATCGTTTGTTAGGAGCTGGAGAGTCTGGGAAATCCACAATAGTCAAACAGATGCGAATTCTTCATATTGATGGGTTTTCTGAACGGTAGGCTTTCTTCTCAAAATCCGGTGATTTTATATCGGTATAGGGAAAAAAAAGAAAAGGTTGAAGCCATTAGAAAAAATTTGCGGGATGCTATCTGTGTAATTGTGTTTATTCAAACTGATGTTTGCTTCTAGTCCATAGCTGGTGCTATGTCCTCTATCAAGCCGCCTGTGGAATTAGAGCAGCCCGAAAACAAGAAGCTTCGTGACTACATGTTAGAATATGCTTCAAAGCCTGACTTCGACTATCCACCGGTTAGTTGCCTTCAATAAAGGTTTATAAAGCTTAAGGATTTTTATTCCAACTGTGCCAAGCTCTGGAAAGACGCGGGGATACAGGAAACGTTTGAACGGTCAAATGAATACCAGTTGATTGATTGTGCAAAATAGTAAGTCGTTGTTACTCCAAATTCGTATTCTTCTTAGTTTCCTTGATAAAACGGAGGAGGTTGGCCGAAATGATTACATTCCTTCCGAACAAGATATTCTCCGGTGCCGTGTTTTGACATCTGGCATATTCGAAACAAAGTTCAGTGTAGACAAAGTTAATTTTCACATGTTCGATGTGGGTGGTCAACGAGAGGAACGGCGTAAATGGATACAGTGTTTTAATGACGTCACAGCGATCATTTTTGTTGCGGCTTGCTCTTCCTACAATATGGTATTACGCGAGGATCCTAGCCAAAACAGAGTAAAGGAATCCTTGGAACTTCTTGGATCGATTTGGAATAACCGGTAAGCTCGGGTTTCGTACACTTTTTTATTTTATAAATAAAATGTGTTTAAGTGCTCATGCATCAACAGGGAGTTTGACGACCACAGTAACAATGCTTTTAAGACTCACGATGGGACTGTTGATTTCTTTTTACATTTGCCTGAAACCACCTATATTCTCGATTCATTCAGCACCCAGATTTTGCGAAACTTTTTAATACAGAGCATAGTGATGGACAGTAAAACGGGCGTATCTAATAGCTACAAGAACCCACTATGTACCTATGGAAACCGGTAACCTGAGCTCCGGGAGTGGCGAACCACACGAGGCTTAGTATTTAGCCCGGTGAGGGCGGAGCTGCCTCAAGCAAATCAGAGATATTTGTATTAAGTATTTTGAAGTTTCGGATAAAAGACTAACGCTGGGAACGTGTGAACATCGACCTTGCACTCGCCGCTATAGTCACTACCGAATACCAATGATTTAAACTTATTTTATTGCACACATAATGAACAGCAGATGGGATGGTCGCCAGAGTCGCGAAAGCCCGCTGTTCAGTAATGGAAACCAGCAACCCAAGCCACGAATCACTTCAAATCCCACTCAGCCGAAATAATTCTTGTTTCAAAACATCTGAATCCAACCTGTCGAAAAAATCACGTTACAATAATCTTCATAAAGGAAAACATCTACGATTTTCTCTTGAGCGGAACTATGTTAGGATGCCCAGGCTAAAAAAAATTCTTGGGAATTTCACATCCGGAACCTTTGCCTAGCCAAAGCCTAACCCGCAAGACAGCTGGGCGGTGTGTAAAAACCGCAGTCCATCGTGTTCGGTCTCCCATTCATCGGATCGTGCATCATTCGGACGAAGTGAAGCGTCCAAGGTGCCCAATACAAATCGATGTACCAGGTAGCCGGGGTCCGCAGCCACAATCAGAATTGTGTGGTTCGTACACCTCTTCCTGGGTGGTTTAAAATCAGGTTTCAGTTCAGTTCGGTTTGTGAAACCATTAGCAATACACTTTCATGCACCCGTTTTAGTCTCTTGTTCATCCATTTAGATAAAAAACAGAATGAATGGAATGTTGAAAGCAAACTTAAGGGGAAGATAGAGAATTCATATAGACTGGGGTTGCAGGAACACGGAGTAGATGCTTGTCTGTGACACTCAGCGTCTTTAACCACCGGTCCCCATCAAGGGTGCCTAACGGTACCTATATGACCCAGACTCCTTGTTAGGGTTTCCATACCCTTACGCCATGTCATAGTTTGAACGCCCTTGACCTTTCTCCATCCGTTGCCTGCTTCGGCAAACCACTCGCCGTGGCAACTGTTTCGTGACGTGCAACACGTGCCAACCAACGTAACCTATATGGACGACCGCCATTACCCAAAACTCCATCTAACCTCCGGTTTCCCCACCGCACTCGTGCAATGCGACGTAGNGCGGTGTTCGAACGCCGACAATCTACCTTTATCCTGTTTCCGTAATGGCCAAGTCTCTGCACCGTATGGCAGCACTGATCGAACTGATGCAGCATACACGTCTGCATGCGCCAGACCAGGCTGTCTGCTACCTGGAAGCAAATCGATGCCGCTCTCGGTGCACGAGGATAGGACTTTTTCAAGAATTATATTTATGGCAAAGTTAAATAGAAATGGAGAGAGAGGGCAACCCTGTCGATCACAACTTTCTGTATTGACCTAGGGCGAAAGTGTCATAAGCTCCGACTCAGGTTTGGCTATTGGTATAAAGGGACCGTAACATTGAAATAAACTTCTCGGGCACACTCTTCAGGGAAAGGCAGCGCCAGACTTTAGAGAGATCGATTGAAACGGAAGCAGCTTTCAGATCAAGGAATATATAAATGGTAGGTGTACGAAAGGAGTGTCTTTATTCTTAAATTTGTTGAAGGGGGAAAATGTGGTCTGTTCAACCTCGACCAACCTGCGTGCACTGTTCATGTGCGTCAGACAATCGACGGAGTGTGATCCCAAGGAGAAGTTTAGAAGCAATGCTGATTAAACTGATTCCTCTGTAGCTTTCACATGAGGATCCGTTACGTTTCTTGTAAATGAGCAAGGTGACCGATTCACACCATTCAGATGGAACTAGTTTGAATTAGGGTGGTTAACCAACTCCCTTTGGTGAACAGCCAGTGGTTCACCGATCCGGTTATAGCCCCCGATTTTAGTTTTTCGTCCTCACTTTGACAAGGAAGACAGTGAGTGGGGCTTCCTCAACAGAGGCTATTTGAGGCGCTTGGTTTTATAGGAGCATTTCGCGGGGTGCAAGTGAAGGGTGACCGTCCCCAACCTCCGACATCCTAACTAACCATACTAAGTCTTTCAGAGGCCTACCACCCACACGCTTAGTCTTACAGAAGCGTTTCTAGAGGTGCAAAGAAAAGGGTAGGATTCACCCCCAGACATTCACTCCGATACTGAGGCTATCGAAAAATACACATGAATCCTGATTATTTATCCAGTAAAAAAATCTCTCCTTGGTCTTGGTTACGGAGTACAGATTATTAGCATACACAAGAATTGAGTTCCTGCGAAGAGGATTTTATTCCACTTCGGTTTCTTGAGAATGCAAGCCTTCAGGCTTGCTAAAATAAGTCAGTACCCAACTACCTTCAAATGCTTCATAAACTGCAGTATTTCGGAAGAACAAGACTTACGTCTGATTTGCATCAACCACTCACCATTTCACGAGTGATCATGTACTGGTAACGCAGCCTTTGGACCTATTGACAATAAAATCTTGCGCAGCCTTATTTACGGGTTTCTCTGTCGTACAGAAACATATGCAAAAGAGATTAGACATTAGTCTGCAATGACGATGCCGAACAGATAATTGATTTCCTAGCTTTTCCGAAAAGTTGAACTGGAAGTGTGCGTGAAATTTATGTCCGAAGTAGTAAACCAGAGAAAAACTAGCTAGATCTCGGTGAAAACAACCTGTAGAAACATTTTATAATAAATTTCTTCTTCAAGAACCATTTGGAAAGCATGTAGATGCTGACATTCTTAGTGCCATTTTTGTATGCTCCTAAGAGCGCACATCCTGCGGGGAGCGAATGTTTAATCGGTCCCAATAATGTCTCTACAGAGGAATACACTTTCACTATCTTCAGGTTACGAAGGACTGCTGCGAAATCAGGTTGATTCTTTCCTAACCGTAATATTTGGGAAGCGGTAGATGAAGTGAACGTNTTACACCTGTGTGTTGGATAGCAGATGAGGTGGAGCCCCATAGTCACGAAGACCTGCTGCTCAGTGATGGTAGCCGGCAACCTAAGCCCTGAGAAGTGTAGTGGCAAACCACGTAAGGCCCTGCTGAGTAAGGCGTGGTATGGAACCGGGCGACGGCAAAGCTGTCTACCACTGTCTACCACTCTGGGTTTTGTATGGCATCGACGAGACATCAAGTTAGTCGGTAGTCACTGCGGCTATCCAATCGGTTGGATACGTGGCCGTCACATGAACCTACTGCGCTCAGGTAGTGCATCAGTCTTATCAGCAGCATACGTTTTTAACTTAGACTCCATACGAGACACTG